AAGCCAAGAACAGTGTTGCCAACCCCACACCGTTGAATATCACAAGGTGTGCTGCTTAGTGTCACAAGATCTTAAAAAAAACAAACAAACCCCAGGAGAACCAAAGATTTTTAATGAAAACATTTTATTGAACCAGCTGTATTAATATACTCCCTGGACTGTCCTGGCAACAACCTTCCAACCCTACTTTAGAAAATAATCATATATGGGGTTTGTCTTGTGGTGTTTGAGCCTTCAAGGTTCCTGCTGTCCAGCATTTCTCCCCAGACCTGAGGGCTGAAAACTTCCTCTTTCTTTTTTAATAAAAGCTGATATTTTGCCAAACATCAGAAGCTTTAAGAAACAAATCGCATATTGCAAGCCACTTGCTGGCAGGAGTCAACAGTTTTGCAGAAGTAGTTCTAATGGAGGCATCGGTACCAGGTTCTCAGCTGGTGAGAATCAACATAGTGCCATTGAATGAATGCTGCTTTACATTTCTGACATACCTGGGCATTCCTCTAAAGCAGTGATGTTCAGCCTGTGGTCTGCAGACCCCTGGGGATCTGCAGACTATGTCCAAGGTGTCTGCAAAAGATGACTATGGTCAATCAAAAACACGTGACTACCTACACTTACCATTCAGAGGGGTCCGCACCTCCGTTTGAAGTTTCCAGAGGGGTCTGCAAATGAAAAAAGGTTGCAAACAACTGCTCTAAAGTGTTCCTAGTCCTGCAGACTCTCCCTCCCCCATTAGAGCTTGCTGTGTTCGTAATTGTGCTGGTGCCAACTGTAAACCCTTCTGTCTCAAAGGTCTCTGGAGTTCGCAGTTATGAGGTTTTCAGCTGCCTTCAGTCACACATTAATATCTTTTACTAGGCACTCCCTTTCCTGACAGCCTTTGGAACTCTTGACTGCTTCAGGCTGCTCCCTTCCACTTTGTGAATTGTAGAAGAGCAGGACAGCTAAATTTTAGTCTTTGCTTAATCCTTGTTTTGCCAAGTGACTTAGGGGCATCTGCCCACGTCAGCTGCCCAAAAGAAATCTACCCAGTGGCTGAGCCCATCAGGTGCAGGACAGCTGGATAAAAGTTCAGAGCTGCCTTGTGAGTTCTGAGTCAGCGAGTGAACCTAGTACCCGTCACAATTTGTGTGGGAGGTGTGACTATTCCAGGAGTGCAGCAGGTTCAATGGCGAAGACTGATGATGTAGAGTTGGGAATGGGGCTTTAGAGAGAGCGGCCTCGGAAACACCACACGGTTTGCTTGGATCCAGAGCTTGGAAGTTATCCTCAGAAAACTGTTGAGAGGGCTGCGTGCTCCAAGAGACTGCAGAGAATCCACATGCATTTGTGATATAGCTCTGATGCAGAAGCTAATGCAGACAATTGGAAATTACGACAATTCCTGCTCTTCCTTCTCTCCGTTTGATTTTCTGTATGATTTTAGGTACATTTGTGACTCTCGTCCTCAGAGCATCTACGCCTTGTGTAAGTTAAGAACTTAACACCTTTCCCTTCTCATCCTTCAAGCATAACCTAAGAGGTGGATTATTTCTCCTTCTCCATCCCCTTCCTGCTCCTCACCCATGTTGGTCAAGAGCTGCTATAGGAAAGATAGATCACAAATGGTTTTGGATTTAATCTTGAATAGAGAAAGGTCCATAAGTCATAATTTCTCTCTTGTGGAAATGCATTCCATAGTCCACCACCGGTTCTGCTTCCTATGACAGCACCACCTTCCACCCTTGGCTTTGTTTCCCTAGAGCTGTTCTGGGTAGTAGTGGAAGGATAAGCGCTGTCTGCTGTGCACCGACCTTTCGCCCCTTGCAAGATTTGGAACTGGAGTCTCTGTTCAAAGCCAGTGTAAATGTTGAAGCAGGGAAACCTGATCAGGATGGCCTACTGCTGTGAGCAGGTGACTTGGTGTGTTTTATATGAGGCTGAAGCTTTCATAGGTGGCTGTGCTTGGTCTCCCCTGGGAGCAAAGTTTCAAAGGTGAAGGGGATCTTTGTCCTATCTTTCCCCTGTCCCCAGCATTGGTGTTCATCATGCCTCCATGAAAAGTCAGCTGCTGTAGAGAGGGATGTGGTCTGTGCTTGTCCCTTATGCTGCCCCAGACCTGCTGATACACCATCCACACCCGATAAACATCTTTTCCTTTCTGGAGGGTTGGGCAGGGTGAGAGCTCATATATTCTGCTTAGACTTTGATTGTTGTCACTATTCCACCCTGCAATGACTTTCCTCTCCCCCTTTGACTGGGCAACTGGCATTTGGGTAAATGGAATGGACAGTGTATCACTAATGAAGGGGAGAGCACTTCTGATTCTGTTTTTGGCTGGTCTTTCCCTTGGACCCATCTCCTTGGCATAATGGTTCTAACTGGGAACGTTTGTTCTAAAGATGCCATATCCAGCCGCAGCCTGCTGAGCAATGTTCCCTCTAAGGAGCAGCAGTCTGTGAGTGTGCCGCCTCGGTCCGGTTCGGGACACTTACTGAAGGGGGCTGGGGCCAGGGGCCGGATGCTGGAGGCTGGGGCCAGAGGCTGGGGAGCTGGAGCTGGAGGCTGGGAGCCAGGGGCCAGAGGCCAAGGGCTGGAGCTGGGAGCCAGGGGCTGGGGCTAGGGGCTGGAGCCGGGGGCTGGCACGGGCTCCGCCAGCTCCGGGGAAGTGCTCCGTTCCCACGCATCAGGCCCTGATGCCACGTGCCTCCTCGCTTCCCGAGGTTATGCGAGGGAGCAGAGCAGTGCCCCGGAGCCGGCGGAGTCTCACTGGGGCAGGCAACGGCTCCCCCCCGAGGGGGGGCAAGGCAGGGGGGGGGGGGGCCCGAGGTGAGGCAAGGCAGGGATGGAGGCTGGTGCGGGCTCTGCCGGCTCTGGGGAAGTACTCCAGTCCCCAGCCCTGATGTGGGGGAGCGGAGCACTTCCCCAGAGCTGGTGGAGCCTGTGCCAAGCTCCCACCCCAGTCTCTCCTGGTGCACAGCCTTGAAATGGCTGTGTGCAGCCACACTTTTAGTTGTGCACGGCCACGCACCTTAGAGGGATCCTTGCTGCTGAGCCTTGGCACATAAGAGTCAGAAGATAAAGGGGCAGAACAGTAGTTCAGTCTCCCAGTGGCTAATCATCAGAGCTGTTTAGGACTGCCTCTGCTATAGACCTCCGTCCAGTCATGTCCTCTCTTCCACATCAACCTTCTATCCCAGGGACAGGTAAAATATGGCTTGCGGGCCAGATCCAGGCCGCCAGGTGATTTCATCCGGCCCATGGGCGGGTGCCCACCAATTCCTTGTATCTTGCTCAGCCTGTCCCTGCCCCTGCCCCTGCTGCACTCACATGAGGCCCGAGCCCCACCCACTCCCACCGGGGCAGCCTGCTGCACTTTTACCCTTGTGCGAGGGAGGGCCCTAGACAAAACACAGCTTCTGGGCAGGGCCACTGCTGCCACTGCCAAGGGAGCTGCCCAGCTGCTACTTGTGCACCCTGGGCAGCAGGTAGGTGGGGAGAAGCTGAAGCTAGGTGGGAGCACAGAGTCCAGGGCCTGCACCCAGCAAGGTGGCAGGAGCCCGGGTCGGCCTGGTTCCATCGCACAGGGCTCCCCGCAGTTCATGTGCAGCTCCTGGTATTCGTGCACCACTTCCCCCACCACGCAATGGAGCTGGCAGCCTTGCCGTTCCCTGCCACCATGTGCAGCTCCTGGCACTCCACCAGAAGTGGCGGGGAGCCCCAGGAAATGGAGCCAGGCTGGCTTGGCCCCACTCCCTACTTCCCAGAGGAGTCCTAGGATCTGCATGTGGTGGCAGGGAGTGGGGCCAGGCCGCTGGCTCCATCTCGCAGAACTCCCCCATCCAGGCACACGGCTCTGGCTGAGTCCTGGGAGCTGCATGTGAGGTGCAGGGAGCTCTGTGCAATGGAGGCCTGCCGGCCCACTCCATTCCTTGCCGCCACATGCAGCTCCCAGAAGTGGCCAGAGCTGTGTGGCACCGCCCGCACGGGCTGTGAGTGCCCCAAGAGCCTGCCGCTTGGTGCTGCTGCCACTGCTGCTGGCAGCGGGGGCAGTGGGCAAACGCTGTCCCCCACGCACAGCCACACTCCTCCACAAGCCATGCACTCACAGCCTCACACCAACCCACCCTCACTAACTCCCCCACACACAATATACAAGAGTAAGAATTTATTTTAAGCTACTACGTAATCACCTCTACATATACTACGCAAACACATGTAAATCAGAACAAAAATAGTTTTTTTTAAATAAAATTAAAATATGTTATAGTAGATGTTTGATTTTTAGCATATGACTTGGGTTTTTTTCTAGTTCCAAGAAGGCACCCCCCCACACACACACCCCCATGAAAAGGAGTGCTCCTGGAGGCAAGGAGAGGGACTTCTGGTGGCAAAGGTCAGGGGTTCGGGCCAGGACTTCTGGTCCTAAGATGGCGGCCAGGGGGCAGGGCACCTGGCAAGGGGCGGGACTGCCCTTGCGGCCCTCGGCCACTCGCTAAATCTCATTAAGCAGCCCTCCAGCCGAAATAATTGCCCGCCCCTGTTCTACTGCAAATCCCTCCCTCTGTCTTGCTTTTCTAGCATCTCCTTGGCCTTAGGATGTGATGCCATAGGAGCGATCTCTCTGCGTTTTGTCCTCTCCTCCCCTCAGTCTCCTGCTCGTATCCAGCCTGCTAGGTGTGGAGGCCTCTGGGCCAGAGCTGCGTGTTTCCGTCCCCTGCCCTGACACCCGTGGGGTGCTGAGAAGCACTTGGGCTTGGAAAGGTCAGGTTTGGTGAAGTCGCCAAAGGCATTCAGCCTGTTGAGCACAACCTGGGGGAGGGAGGGATTGGTTTTGGATTTAGCTTCCTCAAGATTTAAGGGAAAGATTCAGGCTAGATGAGTTTGGACCTCTCTCTTTAGTTTTCCCCTGGGATCTTTCTACCCCACCACTGCCACCACCCCTTTTTACCCAAAAAGCCCAAGTAAATTTGTAGCCAAGTAGCAGTTTAACATGCTTTCTCACTCTGGCTTTTCCTTAGGATGAAGATGAGACGCCACAAACTCTTTTTGACTCTCTGCATGGCTGGTCTCTGCCTCATTTCCTTTCTGCACTTCCTCAAGGCCCTCTCTTATGTCACCTTCCCCCGGGAGCTGGCTTCACTTAGTCCCAACCTTGTCTCCAGCTTCTTCTGGAACAATGCACCGGTCACGCCGCAGGTCAGTCTTGAGCCGGGGGGACCCGAGTTCCTCCGCACACCACTTTACTCCCACTCACCCTTGCTCCAGCCCCTGTCTCCCAGCAGAGCCAGTGAGGAGCTACACAGAGTTGAGTTTGTTCTGCCAGAAGACACAGCAGAGTATTTTGTCCGTACCAAAGCCGGTGGCGTCTGCTTCAAACCAGGCACCAAGATGTTGGAGAAGCCACCAGTGGTCCGGCCAGAGGAGAGATCAGATGGTGCTACGTCGGGGCGGCCAGCCCGCAAGCCGCTGAGCGCCAGTGGGACCAAGCGGCGCAAGTGGGTGGAATGCGTGTGCTTGCCTGGCTGGCATGGTCCAAGCTGTGGGGTGCCCACTGTGGTCCAGTACTCAAACCTGCCCACCAAGGATAGGCTTGTGCCACGGGAGACACCCCGGCGGGTCATCAATGCCATCAACGTCAACCACGAGTTTGACCTCCTGGACGTCCGCTTCCATGAGTTGGGTGATGTGGTAGACACCTTTGTGGTCTGCGAGTCTAACTTTACGGCATACGGCGAGCCACGCCCGCTCAAGTTCCGTGAGATGCTGCTCAATGGCTCCTTCGACTACATCCGCCACAAGGTGCTGTACGTCTTCCTGGACCACTTCCCCCTCGGCGGGCGCCAGGATGGCTGGATTGCCGACGACTACCTGCGCACCTTCCTGACCCGGGATGGCATCTCCCGCCTCCGAAACCTGCGCCCGGATGACGTCTTCATCATTGATGATGCGGATGAGATCCCAGCCCGTGATGGCGTGCTCTTCCTCAAGCTCTATGATGGCTGGACAGAACCCTTTGCCTTTCACATGCGCAAGTCCCTCTATGGCTTCTTCTGGAAGCAGCCAGGCACCCTGGAGGTGGTCTCTGGATGCACAGTGGGGATGCTGCAGGCCGTCTATGCTACCGATGGGATCCGCCTCCGCCGCCGGGAATACTATACCATGCCCGGCTTCCGGCAGTATGAGAACAGCACGGGACACATCCTGGTGCAGTGGTCACTAGGCAGCCCTCTCCATTTTGCTGGCTGGCACTGTTCCTGGTGTTTCACACCAGAGGGCATCTACTTCAAACTGGTGTCAGCCCAGAATGGGGACTTCCCCCGCTGGGGTGATTATGAGGACAAGCGGGACCTCAACTATATCCGGGAGCTGATCCGAACTGGGGGGTGGTTTGATGGCACCACCCAGGAGTACCCCCCCGCTGACCCTAAGGAACAGATGTACGCCCCAAAGTACCTGCTAAAACACTACGAGCGGTTCCACTACCTCCTGGAGAATCCCTACCGGAGGGCAGAGGTGGCTGGGTGAGGGACGTGGGGCGAAAGAGTAGGGTATTTCCTCTTATGGGTTTTTTTTCCTGGTTTTGTTTTCAGCTGGGGTGTATCATTTCTCTCCAGTCTCTGCCTCTGGAGTGGAGCTGGGGGGGGTTATTCCCAGTCAAGTTCATGAGGGAAGGAGAAGAAGTGGGAACCTGCCCTGGGAGCAGGCAAAAACAAAACAAAAAACTTTGGCACATTCCCTCTACTTTGACTGCTGAGAGAGAGGAGAGTCATCTCATCCAAGCAGCAGATCCTCCTACAGGGAAGGGATGAGAAGGAGAGAGAACGCACAGCTGCCCTCACCTCTCCCTATGGATCAGGGGTACACACACACAGGAGCCTGGACTTGTCAGTGAACAGGCAGGTGCCAGCAGAGGTGTGTCTGAGAGTGTCTCGTGTGTGCTGCTATGAGTTTGTGCACGGGTGAGTGTGCAGAAGCATCTTTGTATGCATCTGTTGTCTCTTTGTTTACCTCTGCAATCCAGTGGTTTTTGGGTGAGGGTAGCCACCTCTCCTCCAAGGTGTCCCCCTTCCTCCCAGAATGCAACCTCCTCCCACTAACCTAATACCAGTACATCTCTCCTGGGCACAGTTCTCTGTCTAATGTGCTGCCATGCTCAGAGCTGACGTATAGGGGAAGTGAAGCATAAGGTGGAACTCTACCTTTGCCACCACACTGCCTGCGTTTGCTCAGCCGGCAGAAAATCGAGTGTGTTGTCCCTGCCTCTCATCCAGGTTGGAATGAACTGCAGGGGACTTCACTAGGGAGGTCATGTGCTGGTGAATGTGTGGACTAGCATGTGCATGAGTGTTAATGTTAATATGCACAGGTACAGGTATTTGTGGGTTGGTTTGTCACCAGTATCAGGTGGAGGAGTGAGTGTGTGTGCATGTGTGTGTATGTACGTGTGTGTGTACAAGTGTCCATAGTGGTGGGAGCATGGTAGAATCCAGAAGTTGTGCTCTTTACTTAGGTTTTAAGGATGTTCAGGGAACCCTCTACAAGCCTTCTGGGTGTAGTGGGAGGCCGGGAAGCTGTGAGCTCTGTGCGCCAGTGCTCTTTAAAGGGACCTGTTCAGAACCAGCTCAGGATGTGCGGGTAAGGGTAGGCATGCCTTAGGGAAGCCCTGAAAGCCAAGCTGCTGCAAAGGGAATGTCCACAGGAGGGACCCTCCCTCCACAAAGTCACAGTAAAATATAAATGCTGTTCATTCCTTGTCTCTGTGGAGTAAATAGAAAGGTAAAGGGCAATCCCCTTCTCCTCCCCCTGAATCCAGCCTAGCAGCAGGAAAGAACAAGGTGTGAAATATATCCCAGCCTGGTACCTGTCTGGTTACTACCAAGATGGGATGACCATCCGGGGAGGCTTACTAGGAAAAGCCTACTGGCAGGCTACTCCTGCAGCACTGTGCTGCTGCAGCAGGGGTGCAAGCTGTCAGGGAGGTGTACAATCCAGACTTGTCACCAGGACTGTCTAGGCAGAGTTGTGAACAAAGGAATGTGTGAAATTAGATTTAGGAACCAAACAAATAGAAGCCCATGAGCTAAACTCTCTATCCTTGTTACACATTTCCACCTCCCATTGTTGGGGATATTCACATCATGGCCTGCTTGCTTCCAAGTCTGGTTTGGGTTTTTGAGGCAATGTCCACCCCTCCCTCTATTCTCAGCAAAAGGCTCCCGTGTTTGGGAAGCACATCAGGGGTCAGGTACAGCATGAGCCTCCTGTTAGTTATCCTGACAAATAAAGGAATGGAGAATGAAGGGAGTGATAGGGTCCTGTTCCAAGCAGGAACTTGGTGGTAGAGAAAGGAACTTAGCAGGAGAAATCCGTTTTCTTCTGCTCTTTACATGAATAACTTCTAATTGTTTAGGGTAAAGCCAAACCCATCTGGGTTGTTTGGTTTGTGTGACTATCCCACGTCTATTGTGCTTAGTGAAATAGATCTCCTCTGAGCTAAACATTTTACTGTTTTTATTGCCCCTTGATTGCATGTGTGCTTTGGTCAGAAGACTGTGATGATGGTCTGTACATGCAGAAGAGACAGCAGAGGCAAAGTAAGCCTGGAAAGGAGCAGGCTAAAAGTGCAGGTTTTCCAGTTGTTTGTGGGTGTATGAGGGAGAGGTCTGCTTTAACCAGAGCTGGGTTGTATATTATTTGACACAGCAAAGATCTGATAAGCTACTGGCTCTCTGCCCTCATGGATGTTCTGCTTCCCCAGGAAGACTGGTGGTAAACAGATAACAATGAAAAACAATTCTTCTTCCCCTGCAACCCTATTTTTCTGCCAACTCTGCTGCAGTCGTGTCTAGATACCCTTTCACCCTTAAAATGTGTTAGGGCAGTGTTGAACTATGGATGGGGCAAGTCTCGCTCCTCTTTCTGTTTGCCTTAGTATGCTCTCCCCTCCTTCATGGTTTTTGAGGCATGAACCCTACCACCTGTTATTCCTGAAGAGGGATGGGGTCTTTCCAGGTTATTTATAAACAAGGGTGGGAACATGGATGTTAGTATTTTTGGATCAGGCAAGTCCCTTGTACTGGAAGGAATATAGGGGAAGGTCCTCCCTGCCTCTGTCACTGGTGTGTGTGTGTTAATCCCTGGGGGATGCTTAAATAAAAATACTGAAATGGTATCCTGACAGGTGCCAGATACAAAGGAGATACTGCTCAAAGCTCTGTGTTTGGTATGGAGGGAGAAATGTTCCAGTTCTCTGCTCCACTGCTGTTGTCTCCAGTATTTTGCTTTACATTGCTGGGTGGGGGGGTGTCACTGCAATGCCTTTCATTTCCTGGAAGCACTTGGAGAATAATAGTTTCTCCTTCTCTGGTAGGAAAATACAGAGGCTCTGACTCATTCATTTAATGTAGCAGGTATAGGTGGAGCTCAGAGCAGAGCTGGTATTGAAGTATCCAAGACCCCGATACCTCAGCCAGGATATCCTCATGGGGTAGTAGTAGCTGCTTCTCTCCCTCTGGAACCACCTACCCTTGATGTCCCTTTCTTACCCCTATTCTTCTGTGGCTGCTACAGAACAGATCTGCACTGTGAGGGGCCCTGGAGCTGATCATTCCTGGTCCTGTTAGCAAACACTGGTTAGGAGAGGAGTGGGGAAGAGAAAGTGGGCTTCACCAACCTCAAAATTGGTGGCAGGAAAGGAAAGGGCTGGGAGACGTAAGGATTCCTCTCCCCCACCCCCTTCTCCATCCATCCCTCAATCTTTTTATTCAGAAAGGCCTGTAATTTCTCTGAGAAGTTGGAGGAGCTTGCCATTACTGTGAAAACATAGGAGGAGTTTAAATTGGCAGCATGATATAATTCCACCATGGAGAAGAGAGGGAGTAGATGATAATGCAATACGCTTCCGCAGAGACTATCCAGACTGCAAGTGATGGCTACAAAAAGGAAAACCTGAGCTGCAAATGCAAACCACTGTCCGTCCTCGTCCCTGAGGGAGTGATCTTGCTTTGTCCTCCAGGAAGCGATCTGCTGGCATATCCCTCAGTGCCAACACGTTCCTTCAGCATTGCCCAGAGCACCCTCCTTTTGGAAAAGGAATGTGTGGACTTGCCAAAAAGAAACCAAACAAAGCTCCTTTCAACTCTGTAATTTATAAAACGCTGGTAATAATAATTAATTTTTGTAAGGATAAATCAAATGTACATTCTGAAATCATTTTCTCTGTAAATGGTTGGATTTCATTTCACCCTTAAAGGGATGCTTAAAAGGAGGAGTTAATGATAATAAAAGATTTACTAAGTATGGAGGAAAACTGGCACATGTCTGTGGCAGCTTTTATTTCCAAGCACTGGGTAAAGAAGTGGAGGAGTTGTTGCCTCTGACTTTGGCACACCTTTGACCTTTCCCACGTGGAAAGCCTTGGGTCTATCATCAAAATATCTGAATGCAGAAGTACAATATTCTTCCAGTGCCATGCAGGAGACTGATCCTGCCAGCTCAGATAAGAGGGCGCTCATAGGCCTTACTGCCAAGTTTGATGTATTGGCCATGCTGAGACCAGCCAGGTGTGTGTGTACACAAGCAGCTCGTCACCACATGACTGTCTTCAGCCAATCATAAGCCAAGATTGCTTCCAAGTACGCAGTACTCTGTATTGTAGTGTCCTTTTAAACAAGGGTACTTTCCCAGGATTGCTTGGGGACTTGTAAACATCAACAGGCACAGTGACACAAGGCCTCTTAATCCACCCTTGCAGCTTCTTACGTGAACTGCTGTGGAGTACATCTAATGTGCTTTCTGTGTGGCAGAAGTGCAAACCTCCTGTGAACCCCAGCATGCTTTATACCTGAAAGAGTAGCTGCTCTAGCTTACCTGGCTGTGGGATGGCTCTCTCTGTGCCAGGAGAATAGGTGAACGGACCTGATGTATTCCAGCCGCCAGTTAAAAACAGTAGTGCACTCATACCACCTTCTGCCTGCCCCTCTCTTGACCTATTCTCCTGTTCTGTTAGCGGAGAAACCTATTAAAGGTTTGAGACCTGCCTTGTTGCACTGGAGGGTGGAACATCTGGATTCAGAGGAGGTGCTCCCACCACCAGCATCGACTGTGTGTGAAAAGATCCAGCCTGCACAATTGGGGGCATTGGTGGTGCTTTATCAACCAGTATGTCCCCTTCATAAATGACTGATGCTCAGGTTTCAGTCTGGCCCCAGGCTGAGGGAAACTGGCTGTCTCATGAATTAGTGACTAGGATATAGCGCCCTTTGCTTCTAGGGTACTAGTTCCAGTCTCGTCCCACATAGTAGGACAAGCTAGTTCAAGGGAGTGAGGCAACCCTTGTCTCTGGAGCATTTGTTCCAAAACACGCTCATACTGATGCAACGTAGGTACTAACCTGCCTGCTGTATTCCACTTGTGGGTCCCTGCATGGTGTCAGCAAACCCCTAGCAAACCAGTCTGTTCTGAATAACTCGGGCAACATGCACAACCTTAGGGTGAATTGTGGCAAATGCACTGTAGTTAAAAAACAAACA